AGTGCATAGTACGTTACTAAGCTAGAAACTCCTCTAGAAACAAGAAGAGATATTAGTTAAACATATAGATATTTCGGAATAGCGCAGAATATCAATTGAAGTAATTGTTAGTGCCCCAGCTAGCATCATCGAGTAGATTTCAAGGGCAAATTATCCAGTCGTTCTTAGAAATGCTCGAGCAGTCCGCCAAACAGAATTTAGACGGAGAAGTAGCTGACGAATTTAGTCTTCAATAGAAGAAAAAATATTTTCTAAATAAATATTACATTAGGCCGTCGAAGTTAGAATACGTAAAAGGAGAGAAATATCCGCCATAGATTCTTTGATACGCTATGAGGTCACTAACTACGAAACAACTGTCAATTAACCATAGTCGAATACAAACCAAGTTCGATGTTATTTTTATACAATGGACTATCGGAAGTCATGCTGGGCAATCGAACTGAAGATATAGATTTCGGTCCAAACTTTTGGGAAGAAGAGGCCAATACAAAGTCGTGACGCCGTAGGCATGTGCCACTTACTTATAAATAAGCAGAGTCGTTTACTATCTTGCGATATGTACACTAAATCAGAAACAGAAACAGAAATTTCTACCGATTTACTACAAAATTTATTGACTTCACTTGTGTATGCTTTCTTCTCAGTAGCAATTACACATATATGACAGCGTTTTCGTCTAGAGTCATGCATTGGCTAATAGACATGGCTCTTAACTAAAAGTTTTCCGTCACAACCTGATCAATACTGCTACCGTGATCCTAAGTTTTTTTAGATGCTCTAAGATACATTTTCAGTTTTTACAATTTCCGTTTCTTGCAGTTTCTACGCAAATAATTAGATTTAAAAGATGTCGTATCTTCTTGTATCTCGTCTTTATTCTACTCAGGTTGAACTCTTGCTCTTTCGAAAGCTGTATAGGTTCAAAAGGATCTAGCTGATAAGAAGATATCTGATAAGAAGTAATCGCGTATACTCCATTAAAAAAAACAAGCTTAAGCAAAAGAAAAGTATCACAGGCCACCGTTGGTGGTGATCGGTATAAAATTTGGCATCAATATACGATCTTCTGAAAACATTTGCCTATTAAATATATTCGGAAATCTCGTCCATTAAAGATAATGAACGAGGTCGAATGGTCGAGTTGTAGCCAAAGATGAGTACAACTAATTTTGCCCATACTGACTGCTCAGAGATTAAGCGTATGTCGCAAAATTTACGAGAAATGCCATCGCTTCACCCAGAAAACAGCAGACGATGTACCGTAGAAAAAAGTAGAACAACAAGCGATAGGCAAATTTGTGTTCCAGTACCGTCTCATTTAAAATAAATTATTTTGCTCTAAGTTTGAGCTTGGTTTAGAAAGCCCTTTATTCAGTTGATGGGGAACTGTTTCTCGAGAACCTCGTGCCTTTCAGAAATACGACGAAAAAGCGATTGATGGTACATTCCTACCGGCCTGTTTGACAGCGTTCATTGAATAATCAATTCCACGCTTCGACACGAAGTGAGACTCTCGCCGTATCGCGTGGTTTAGATATAAACGGTCATCATCTATTCGATACCAACCCAGTTTGAGTTCGAGGTCTTCAAGATCGAGTTATTGTTGATCTCGCGCATTAATATAGCAACAGAAGTTCGATTAAATCATTTTTGCTCGTTCAGATCCATCAGCCATTGCTTTGAAGCTCGTCTGCTAATTCTATGCAATTTGTTTCTTTACTGTTGTCGTTGCCGTTCGAGACTCGCGGCGTTCTCTGTGATTGACGTATAGTATCAGTGACTGCTGGACCTTGATTCAAGGTCAGACTTGCACAATTATTCACGAAAAGATGTAACCATATTGTGGAAATGGGAAGCAGAGATCGGTACCGATATAGATCGTTTGCATGTAACCTTTTTTTTTTTTTTTTTTTCTGAAAACATTCACTATGATAATAAGAACTTAAAAGTAGGTAGAAGCCGAGTGGACAGACACGCTGTTTCGTATCGAAAGACGCCAGTTATCTAAAGCGATGTTCACCCGCGGCAGTATCGGACGTAAAACGGACGAGACACTTATCTAGATTACAGTTCCTAGTAACTGGGTGTTCCGAACTTCCTTAGAAATTTACATGTTAACCTTTAAACTATTGCAGCACCGCCTATAGTCTAGATTGAATCTGTATTTCAGTTTACATAAACAGGCACTATAGATAGGTTGTATGGGTGTACAACAGAACGTGGTGCTCTGACCTATGGCTGGCTGTTCATGTGCTAAGATCAGCGTCATTGTAGAATAATGCTATAATGTGGAGTTTGTTTACTTCGAGCAAAATAAGCCACTTTTTTGTTTTTTATTTAACATCGTCTGCAAACTTCAGAGGAAAACTACGCTTCCCAATTAAATACGAAGCAAGAACCCTTTTCAATCAGCAAATAAATGTGATATAAGCTAGATACGCCAGCGACGACTGAAGGAACTGCCATTACGATTATTATCGATAGAAGCGGAGTTTACTTAGATAGTGCTTCAAGCTTACCTTGGAAACGTGGTTACCCTCTGCAGTTGTCGTTCGGTGATTAATTTAACACCCCAATGGATGAACGTTTATTTATGAACGTCCGACCAAGTCAAAAATTTTACAAGAAATAGGTACTATAAACTTGCATCCAGGTCCGTGCCGGTTCAAAGCTACCTAGGAGGATCAATTAAATCAAAAAAAAGTTCTCCATGCACTACTTATCCCTATATCTGATGATATGAATGCCATCTAAAAGCAAGTTATCGTCCATAAGCAAACATAAGTTTCTTTTAGGCATAATTTTTGTTTCAGTTAATAGAACTAGTTGTTATGAATAGAACAATCGACTGTTTTGTGTCGATAAATTCAAATGAAAAAAATGACAGCGAGCGAAAAAATCTATTACACACGGGTGCTTCATTGAAAGGTACAAAGTGCTGCCACTATCGTTAACAGTCCTATTTCAGAATAAAGGATAGACATAGAATATTTCAGGCCAGCTTCATAAGGTTATTACTTTACCCGAAATTAGCCAGCAAGGAGATATTTGTGTTTTGACGCGATTCCACGCTGGCCGTTTATACAGCATGGAGAACTAAACCGTTTTCTGTGATGCTCCGAAGGGTGAACAATATTGTTGGATTTCCTTACGGCAGCAGATAGTTGTAGCAATATTCCTCATACTTGCCTTTGAGCCCGCTTTCAGTCTGCTACTGAAGATATTTTAGCCCAAACTAAAATGATCCGTATCTTTAACGTAGCGATAGCCAGTAGTAATGCAATAAAATAGGTGATCAGATAATTTCGTATGCTCTCGGACGTTATTATATAGCGAGATATTGACGTCAATAGTCCATATATTGATGTTTTTCATCGAAACATTTCCGTCGTTCACGTTTTTATAGTTATAGATCTGAAAGATAATGTTTGCAGTACGTACCCGCAACCTTGCTGGCCCCCTGTCAACTTTAAGTCATCAACGGAAGACAAAGTAAGTTTGGGATTGCGGATTCAAAGCGCGATCTTCGACTGATTCTCATACATCGCGAATCGTATTATCTCCGTATTCAGACAACTCACGAATCACAAACAACGAACTCACCTCGTGATTTGTGGCCATTTTCTCAAACATGTCTAAATTTCGCCCATATTGTCCAATCCAAATTGGCTAATATGCTCGAGCTTTTTCTAGACAGGTAACACATTTAGTACTTTTCATTCGTTAGACCCTTTACAACATTGTTAATAAAAATATGTCTCAAGCAAGTATTAAAGTCTGTCGGTATCATTTCGGGTCGGGATATCTTTCGGTATCTCTAAAAGCTACGCGGAAAAATTGGCAGTTCAATTTAATAGGAATCACTATAAATATCGAACTATTGGGAGACGGCTCACTGTCTGCATCGACAGCCCATAGAAATATTCGTTATGACTTTACTAAAACCAAAATAACATGAGACTAAGCCTGACTCATTACAGTGAGCATTAATATTTGCCCCCGGGGTGGACTTTTTCACAGATTGTAAAGCACCTTTTCGATTCGTACGTTACCATCAGTCATGGTCAACCATTTTGGAAATGGCTCGATTTATATGCGTTTGTGTAGACTTTTGCAGACGGATACGCGACCAATTGAATCTTCCTGCGTCAATCCCTGCGACATCGAGTCTTTTCTGCAATCAGTTTCCGTTAGATAAGTCAAACTGGCGATGGATGTAGGTTAGTCATCGTGGCTATTTATGTATCAGTCGTCTCATAAGCTGTCTCATCAGCTCTTTCGTAGATGGCTGATCACTGTGGGAAGGCTGTTCCATATGAAAATGTCCAAAAAGAAGGTGACAGAGCCATCTGTGATCATAAACAGCGCAGGTCTTTTTTTCAATAGGCCTTGTGTGTTCATCGTAACAAAAGCGTGCGGTATAGCGAATTTCACTCATCTTCGAGTCGTTCTATCTCAAATCTAGCTAAAGTCTATTCCAACGCTCTCACTACATCTGGTATTGCCAAATCAGCTTTCAGATGACATCGGCTCCCCTTCGATGCGGTTAAAATATTACCTTTAAAGCCATCTAGCTAAGAAAACGATCGGTAGCTTTGCAATAAATCAATAACCCCTATAAAAAAAAACCTCGGCACGTTTAGCGTTAAACTTAGCTTAGGAGCCGCGTGTAAAAAATTGCCGAGATCAGAGTAAACTTCTTCGCGAACAAAGAAGAACGTATAGCAACTCGCTTCATCGTATATCAATTCGGCCATAGATCGTGTAGAGGACACGACTCTGATACTGGCTGCATGCTCTAGATGCGGGAAAAAACCGTATCTTGCCATTTGTCGCCCTCTGGCGACCTAGTCAAATAGGCGAAATTGAACTTTACAAATTCCACCGGACTCGCCCAATAACTATGACAACGAGCGTCTTACGATTTTACATTCACAATGATCTTGTGATATTATGTTGTTGATTTATATATAGAAACGAAGTGCTTCACTATTACTACCACCGGAAATAGAGGGAATCTGATGTGAATCCTTTTTGATGCGAAAAAAATTGATCTCTGTCTTTTCCCAAAGCTCTGTTTGAAAAGCGGGGAGCAAGATATCATCTTGCTCCCCGCTTTTCAAAATAACGAAAAAAAAAAGCATTCGAAACGAAGAGGCCTCGTAACGACCGAGAAGATCTCAAACAAAAAAAGAGAGCAAGCTGAGGTTCATTTCATTAACTGAATTTGAAAACTGTGTTAACAATTGGAAGAACAGTGAATTAAATCTGGCGGGATTCTTCTTAAAGAACGCAACTGGATGTTGCGCCTTCGAGGCGCACGCTGCTGGAATAGAATCCTCAGCACTCACTTGATTCAACGGTATATACGTAAACGATCCTCATGGTAATATTTCTTCATTTATTATACAGTAGTTGGTCTCTTTCTATAACTTGCGATCTGTAGATATTTTTCTGTACCGTGAAGACTGATAACTGAAGTGGTTTTATCTTCAAAAGCATCATTTGCTCTAGATAACTGTTTCGAACAATTGTATAGCTCAACACTTATTAAATAGTAATTTACATATAGCGATGAGCTATAACAGCATACATATATATGCAAATCGGATCTATTAATTGTAAGTGTGCAGAGGTCTCCTACTAGGTTTTCACTGGTGAGCAGCACAATCAAATTTACTTTTTTAGCTAAACATTAACTTGTGTTCGGGGCAATCCTGTTCCAAGTCAACCGCCTCGGTAGCAAATATCGAGGATAGTTGAGGAGTGAAATCGTCTTTAAGTGCCTAACGGATGAAGCACAGCAGTACCCTCATCGTGTCCACGTCCTGTATTACCTGATATTGCCTCTGAGCTATTGATTCATTTTTATGTCATTATTAATATCTGTACTACTTTGACTGTAAAGTATGGAGTTCGTTTGCTTGTACCATAATCTGTAGCATGTCCTTTATAACTTTCTAGTCAGCCTTCAAGTAAAAGGGAGAAGTTTTTCAACCCGAGCTCACACAATGAGGAAATCTTCTTTGAAGTAAAAACCTTCATCTATTTAAACATACAATGCTATTGAACATATAACCGTGTCGAAAACACATCTCCGCCAAATGAAATGCGCCCACAATTCCTCGTTCAGGGATACAATATGTAATGGCACAGGCGGTGTCCTCGCTGAATCAATGTGTTGCCAAGCTGCTCATACGCGGAATGCAAAAGGATATGCACATTACTGTCAATCGAAAATGATGCCTGGGATTTTTATGTGAGATATGATTATTTGTGATGTCTGTATGTGCTATGATAAAGTCTTTTCTGTGTTGATTACAATAGTGTTCGTATTGCATTACTTAAATCCTTTCGGTTATCCTTTTATATTTCTATGTCTAAGTGTTTGTTCCTTTCAGGCGTACTCCTGTAGGATTTAACGGCCAGCCTACTACTAGTTGGATACGTATATTAAAAGCATTGTGATTCGTGCGACTGGATTGGCAGGCTACTCTCTTTGAATGTTGAATTTCATTGGTAGCATTCGCTATACCTTTGCTTGACGGCAGTATTTCCAGTTCACTTTGCAGGCGGGGCTATTGTATGCATTGACTTTCCTAGCGTCGTTTTCCTGAAACAGGACTTTTCTAGTACCTTTAGATTCTCTAGGATGCTCCATAGCGAACAATATTTCAATGTCGTTGAAAATCTGTATACGGTTTTTACGGTGGCTAGATAGTTGAATTTGCGTTTTTTTTCCTTCTCCACCATCAGACAGTCAGTCACTGACTTTGATTTAAATTTAGTCGTGCTTACATGCTGTAGCAAGTTGATCTCTCATCTAGCGCAAATTCTTACGTATTTGACTACAAAACAGTCATATCTATTTCTTGGCTTGTCACCGAAAGAAGTAATTTATTAGGATTTTTGTCCGCCTAGGACCATACTTGAATACTGTAGGAAAACTTTCCTATTACGTTTGCGTTTACCTGTTCCTAGAATGTATACACGACGTATGTCTTCGACGCACCGATATATCTTTTGTTTGTTTACTGAATCGTGAGTAGGTTCTTCACGTATGGCGTAAATTCAATTAGCGCTGTAGAATTTTCCTGGGATGCATCGCGATCGATAAGATGTACTTTTGAACTTCTGGTGTCGATTTCGAGGAATCACTGCCTTTCATCGAAATCAATTGGTAAGTTGTAATGTTGCTTTTTGAACCTCAATTTTTTTTCAAGTTTGTTTAGAAGTCTCCCCTCGGGACTGTGTCAAAAGTGCGTCAAAAATCTAAGAAAATTACTCTTATAATCTTACTTTTCTCTGGAGCTTCTTGAATTTGTGTTTGTGAGGCGCGCACTCCCATGTGTCCCGGTTCTTTTTAAAGTCGCATTATTATTGCTCCGGTAGAATTATATTTGTTTCTATCAGGCGCTCGATTACTATGTCATTGACGTTTAAAAATAAGGAGAATACGTGCTGTTTTCGCCTTTATGTATCGAAAATATTGTGGCTGCTCTTAGAGTGCTGGGAAACAATATCCCTCTAGATAAGCTGAGTTTTAGGCGATATGGAATAGCTATTATATACATGAGTACCTTTTAAGATGTCAAGTTATTGTGTCCAGGCGATTTTCTATTGTCTGGAACAGGAAACTTTGTTTTTACGATGTTTTAGCTATGGTTTGACGTTTATTGCAACGAGCCTACTCTTAGCTCTGAACGTATGACCTTTAATGAGTGCTATTTTTCTTTATAGGCATTTTATGTGATATATTCGGTAAGCTACGTAGCCCTGATCATTGTGGCGAGCCGCGTTTGCCTAGTGCTAATATAGCGACATTCCAATTGTCCTAGAATGTATTTTCTAAGTTACGACGGTAACTGTGATGTCAGCTATTAAGTCCTCCATACTTGTTTGACTCAGCAGCATAAAAAAGAACTAGCCTAGTTTCAGTTTGTCGATATTTGAGTTTTATTGTGCTTAAGTAAGTACAAAATTTGGGGTAATGAGGCTCTTGATCCCAGAAAGCTGGAAAACTTTATTACTCCAGAGGTTTCTATTTTTCTTGTCTCATCTATTCCTCTTTCTTGCAACAACCCCTTGACAAAAGACGTACCATGTTCCACAGGATGCGTCAAATGAAAAGATTGGCTAGCTTCAAAGTGGGTAAACAGATTAGCCAGGAAACAGGCGTTTTAATTGATCATTCTTATTGCTGGGCTGTATAGCATCTGCTTCGTCTTCGTAAATTGGTACATTTACTCAACCTAGATACGAAATGGCATTTGGGTCACAGTGACCCACTTTTTTCCAGATGATCAGCTAGTGAAACATACAGAGCTATAGGGCAAACCGTGTAAGCGAATTTTTCGTTTTTTTAATGGCAGACGGGCGGACTATAGGAACGTTATCGTAATATTGATATGAGATAGCTACATACGTTGTGCATCTGAGTAGAGTTCATTTTTTTTTTTTTTTTTTTTATTTTTACTTTTTGATATTGTACTAAAGTACGTCTCAGTTCAAAGAATATTCCTATGAAGAATTCGAAGTCTGTGTCAAAGATCTGCTGACATATTTGTTATATATTGCCTTGCCTAGTAACTTACACTGTGTACAGAGCGTAGACTGCCTGGGTAGACACTGTTTCACCTCTCTAATTGACCAACTTTCAACAGAGGTTGAAAATGAGGATTACCCCGCCTATGCCCACATATGTGTGGCGACGAGTTCATCTTTAATTTTGATACGCGATTTTCGACAAGTTTTATTGTGTCGTGAGTGTCTGGTATATTTTTGATATAATACGATGTATCCGTTGCTATGGCGCTCCATATTCTTTAGAGAGTCTTCGACGATTTTTCAGTTATACGACGGTAACTATGTCTACAATACGGCTCTACAATAATGTGGGTTCTTCTTTTCAAACGGGCAAATTTATGTGAGCTGGTTGAAGGCGGCAACCAAACCCAAGTATGACATCTTCTCTCTTTTAGCCTTTTGATTTCCTATATAATCTTTCAGCTCCATCGACAAAATCAGGGTCCAGGACGCTCGAGACCTAACCTAACCTAACCTACTTGAGAACTATTTATATTATGGCCTATTCGGGACCTCTATCTTCCTTTAAAAGGCGATTCGAACTGTCCTTGGCAGCGTTGCCCATTCGCGACGTCAAAGTGCAACCTATAGTTAAACGTAAGTGGTAGATTTGCGATATTATTAGTAGATTGAACTCTCCATTCGCCGTACCATTAACTTTTGCGCATGTGCAGATATTTTTGGGCGTCGTCATGAATGTCAGCTTCTTGACGCAAAACACCAGATCACTCGAACAGGTCCTGTCTTCTGTCGGCCGTTCAGTAAACTGGCTTATGCAGGCCCCAGTTGAATTCACGTATTCACTAAGATTGACCGCATCGTCCTCGCGCAAAAGGTCATGCGTCAGTTAAAGTCGGTTCTGGCTCTGAGTTCTTCTCTGGTGTCGTAAACTCAGCTCATTTCTTTACTGTGTGCTACGACAAAAAATACGGTGCTCATTAGGTTCTATCCCAAATTTAACGTATAAATAAAACGATTTAAAATTCGCAACTGGCAAAAAAAGCACGGAATTGGTCGAGTACACGTAAGCATTATAACGTCAATACGAAAAACAATATAGTTGGCTATGATAGATAAATATATCAAGCTTGATAATGACTAGGATCATAGAAGTCAACAACATTGTTTATGTACGTAGCAGAAGTTCTTAGTTAGAACAGCTTCCACTTGATTGCCTCTGAGACAAGCGTTCTTAAAGCTATTACAAACTGTCTATAAATTAGACGGATTATTCGTTCGTGCTTCTGTGAGCATAATTATACAGGAACAGTTCGTTATTGTTGCCTTACAACAGTTGCCTCGAAGCAGTAACTGTTTTTCCGTATCGGGCCGCGCTCGTCGTGCATTTCACTAGCATGCAACTTGGTCGCCAGAAAAGATCTAATTATTTAGTATTAAAAAAGCCAAGGTCAAATTTATAAAGTTCCTACAGCTATGAAGTTGCTGTGAAGGCAGCGCATACAATTACTCTTTACGACCGGAACTGTACGTAAACCTACTACCCTAACGAATTTACATGGACCCTTAGCAGCAGCAGCAACAAGATAAGGTTCCATTGTCCATTAGAACGAGCTTTGGCGAACGTTCCCAAGTTAGTGGTCATCAAGGCCTATCGAATGAGCGGGAATAGTCGAACTGACGGAACGGAGGCGGAACCAGAGGAAAATCAACCTGGAGGTGTTTACGGCTGGTCCTTCTATTTAGTATGCATGTGGCTAGCACATAAAATAGAATCCATCTAACCGAGATGTTCACCGCATTGACATAGTTTTACCTATTGTTTTATAAGGAAGTATCAAACCGTATGCGATTATCAATTACGGTCAAATGTCGTAGAATAGAATGCCTGTTGAAACATAGCTTGAACATTACGATACATGCAGATAAAAACGTGAAATGTGTGTCCTTAAGGCGCGCGACAATAGCGTACTGTTTTTCGGTTACTATAGCGAAGCAGTAGATAAGCGATCATTCACTTTGTTCTCAAAATTCGTGGGAGAACATTGGACGATCTTTACCAGGAGTTAAACGAAGTTTGAATTACCCATTTTGAAATGTGGCCGCCTAAAGCCACGCTTAAAAATAACTATTAGTTCATGGAGGACTGTGTATCTATTGAGCTACGAGATCACGCGTTGTTGGCAATATCCGTGCATACGTTCTGCCTAAATTGTCGATAACTTTTGCTGTCCATCATTCCACATTCGTTGCCATTTGTACCTTCCGACACCTTGCAGAAGCCTCTTACCATCTATGCAGTAGTTTCCGCTATTACGCACTTGCTTTGGAGCTCTTGTCGAAAACGACGTAATACGGCCTGTTCTCCGTAGTCTATTTTTCGGTTTTAACGTCCAGTCTTCAGCCAGCTCTTCTCTATCACGCATATATCTTGCAATGTTTTTAATTAGCATTTATCTCTTTACCTATGCACCACTCGCCTCTCGAAGTTCTAGCCGGTGCTCTAAGTGCATGCTTCCTCCAACCCCCCCCCCCACGTGACCGCTAATACGAACAGATACGTTCAAAATGTAATTAACTATAGACTTTTTTTGCTTCGAGTTAGTTGTCTATGGTTGCTTAATACTAATTATTATAAATAAAGTAATTTTGTTGTTTTGCTTCGAATCGTTTGCGTCAGCATAAATGTCTCGCGATGTGACGCGAGTAGTCAGTATAGTAAAGATCAGAATACTACCGATATTTTGTCACTGTTTGCTCGCTGATCGACAAAAGCAACTTCTCCACCGCGTATTTGATGCTAGACGTATGTGTTTTGCCGTGAGGCTTTACGGGCTGGTCTGTTAAACTTCTAACTTGATTCATGCGTTTATTGAAAAAACGAAGCGACGTATCATTCGACGACGCGTCTTACATCGTAGCATTAGCTGACGCCAGCATATCGCTCAGCTGGTTAGAATAGCGCTGCGACGTTAGACCGAATACGTTTCTGTTGTATGCTTAATATATGTAGTCATGCTACATTAATTTCGTATCTTTCTTCACATATAGCCTATAACGGTTCGACTTTAACATAATCGGCTAGTTGGGCACCGAACTACACAAGTTAGACACTGAGTTTACTAGTTCAAACTAAGTACTGATCCTATGTGTGTAGCAGCTGATGTTCCACAACGCGTCTATTAACTTGGTCAAATAAGTAAGTTCAAGCGATATTTTTTTGTGTCTAAGCTCATGTAATAGATCTGCATTCTGTCCGCTCCTGGCCTACACGTCACGTTACGATAGTCCCTAGCAAAAATATATCTTAGATGACTAGCTTAAACCTTCACGAAGAAACGGAGTTTAGACGAAGTTGTAAGTGAAGCCAATTCAATGGCTGTGCAAGCTCGATCCTGGTATTTCGGCATGCCTCTTTCGATCCTGTCCAAAAAAAAGATCATCAGTGATTCTGTCAGTAGTTGTATACTGTCTTGATGAAAGACTATTTCGAAAAAAATTTCCATTTCTACAACAGATCAATTCACCTGTCAATCTGTTTTGGCAATGACACCCTGCAGGGATACCTGTTACCTAATAGATTAAAAAAAATGCGATTGTATACTTAAGCAAAGTAAATTAGCAAAATAGAAGTGGTCTGAAGTTTGAATGCTTTGGCCCGCGCACTTTCGCAGAAGTGTACAGATAACTTCAGGGCCGAAAACTACGAGGTAGTCGTATGTAAGCGCTTTGAATGAGCTAAACTATGTAATTAACCCAGCGATCGCACATAAATGCCTTACTGCTTTCATCAGAAAGATATCAATAGGGTAAATTTTTATTTTGTTGGTAATACAAACTATTTGGATTTGAATTTAACAGTGCGGATTAGTGTGACGACTATTGTGTCTGTATTCTTCTTTGTAAGAAGATTGCTAAGTCTGCAATGCAGATTGTAAGAATATTGTCAATTGAACTCGAAAAGTCATCCAAAAACGTGATTACAATAGGTTTATTACCAGATCTACCCAGTCGGACTTTACCGACTTTATCCGTAGACCGTTTGCGTTCATGTCATATCTATTCATATGTGTAAACTTTACCACGGTCATGCTACAATTTGACCTTAATATAATTATTGGAGTAATTATAAATACTTGCATATGTATACAGGTGCGAAAATATCTTGTCGACGCAGGGTCGTCATCAAAGCAAAGGTGTAGCGATAGATCTAGTTAGGATAGAATCTTTGCGAACGTCGACAGCTACGAGGACCTTCAGAGTGTGCCTTCAGTTGAGATGATTATGTGCTAGTCGTTGTTTGTAGACTGTACTTTTGTTTCCGACAAACGTCAAACGTAGTAGGCCATCGAATCCGACTCGCTCAGCCTTAGGGTAATTAATGAAGGCGATTTTAGACATCTAAAATTCATCGTAAGTTAAATACCCCCTGTTTATTAAGACGATGATCAACATCGATAGCAAATCTCAAAGCTTCAAAGCACGAACTAGTTTTGCCACCGCTTCACCTCGTGACCAAGTTGTTGGGAATATTCTTTCAAATGATGCATCTTAAAAAACGTCATAGAGTAGCGAAAGAAAAAAGACAAAAAACGTCATAGAGTAGCGAAAGAAAAAAGACAACAAAGAAAACAATAGAAATGGAGAGAGGCCACCTAGGCACTTGGAAAATAGACCAGAAACCATTCGCTTCTTAGCATTAAAACAAACAGCAAAACAAAGTGAATAAAAAAAAAAACACTCTGTTCTGCAGTATGAATAATTTCCCCTTTTTTTACTGGCATTCGAAACATCAGAAGGATTGACGTCTGGTATATTACAACGGGTGTCGTTGTATCTGCAGCGCAAGCCACAGGCGCTATGTTCGAACGGATTCGGGAAGATTATCGTCCCAGGAAAGGACGTAAGTGCTGATTATATTAATAATATCGATAGAATTGTAATTAATAACAAAGAATAGCGATACTGTTTCATTGAAAAATTTCAACTTTTACTAAACAATGTTATTTTTCATATATTGAAAAACACAAATAATCGCTTTAAGCGTATGTCGAAACGGAATACCGTGTAATGCCGATATATTCAACCGTTATATCTCCTAAATTGTATTACAATTAACAAAGAACATAAAAAATACCTTAAATAAAGCCAATCTTGAATCTGCTGTATTTTGTAGTGATTTAGGGCCACTTTACAGCCTGTCCGTTTCGCAGGTCCCTTTTTCGCCTGACGTGATAAAATTCTTACAGTAAGAAAAATCACAGAATGCAGGTAGAATTAGAGTGACAATGTGGATGGCCGATTGTTATTATTAGTTAAATTTAAACTTTAGCATCAACACTTTATATTTATAAATAGCCAAAATGCTAGAACTGTCTCTTTCGTGAACATACCTGTTCTTCTAACTGTTCTTAAGCACAGCTGCGTCTAATAATAACTTTGTTAATTAACTTGCAAGTACAAGTTCTCATCGCACTATATGCTCCTACACGCTTGGAGCCGGAAACGTTATGTTACAAGTGGAAGATACCACAGTCTGCATTGTTTCACCATCCATTGTGCCTTTAGCTTAGTCTAAAGTGTACAACATTCTACGTTGTATCATATTCTTCAGGATGAGACTGCTTCTCATCCTGAAGAATATGATACATCCTGAACCGGAAATAATAATTTAAAAGAAATGAAGAATAGGAATTACTCGTGGCCTAACCCATGGAGCCCTGACGACATTATTATTGCATGCTGTTACCAAGCTAAAGCTGCACTCGGTAATCAGAAGCAGGAGTTTATCGCGCTTCCGTCTGATTGTTCTATCGTTTAAGGAATTTTGTTTACTTGTAAAGTAACAACTATATCATGTGGTCCTTTATGGCATAAAACATGCTGTACGCTATTGGGGGGTCGTTTAATGTGCCTTATTACGTAGCCTTATGCACAAACTGTAAGTGACGTGTCTATCTATCTGTTTGTCTGCCAAACAAAACATCAAACTTGTAATTATAAAAGAAGCCGTAATTTTTTTTTCACTATTATAAGTTGGCCTGAAAGTTATAGTAACGTGGTTGACCGCAAATAACAAGTAACTTGTGAGCGTGGTATTTGATTCTTCGGATCCAAATAAATGTATTTGTTCTCTCCTGGGAATTTCAAGCAATAAGGATCGTCGGTCGCGTAGGCATAAAATATATTCAAAGTACCGAACTATTCCCACTTGGTCAAATGGGTGTCGGTAACATAAACTTGTAAATGAAAATTTAGATGTGAAATCGGCGAACTAATTCTTTGTTTGTTTTCTTGACTTGTTGTATTTCAATATGCGTTACAATCTCTTAGTAATATAAAATTAGATACAGTCCATAAAAGGTAGCGCCAAATCTGTCTCGTTTAATAGCATGGTTCTTTTCATCTAATAACCTTAAAATAATATAGTGGATACGTACTGCAGTTAAAAAAAATCACTTTATTTTTTTCTCTGTTGTTTATTTTTGTTTATGTTAAGGTAAAAGCTTGGCGAGCGACCGTTATCTAAGTGATACTGCATACATTCCGCAATTGAAGTCTACCGTGATTTATTACATGTCTATTTTACCATAATCCAAACAGTATTGGTCTTACTTTATGATAATAGTAAGATTGGATATATATAAAACGTACCCAAAGAATCCTTTCTTTATGTTAAAATAAGATGTCCTCGTCCGCCTTGCCTAGCTGTTACCCGCTTTATATTGGTTGGAGCCTTGGACATTCTGTTATGCCCCTTTAGTAACTCGTTATGAAACTGCTCAATTGTTGCCATAGAAGAGCGGAAAGTGTCGTGATAGGTTATGACAGAGTGCGTCTTCATTTCAAGTCAAGGACAATGACAATTCGACCCAACTTGCCTAGCTAGTATTTTTTGATAAAAAAACCTTCTGGAAAAGTCACTGAAGCGTGCTTTCAGAACAACGTAACCTCGTCATCAACTTAAGTTATTAAGTGCGCTTCATAAAAGTGGCAAGAGTTGACAGCTGTTTAGAGCATATCAT